TCCTGCTGTCGGGGAAGCTGCCTGCTCTGACGTGTTTTTACCTGGGACAGTCCCAGGTGCGTTGGCCTGGAGTCTCCTACCCTGGTGAGCAGCCGAGTGGAGGGGGAATCTGCTTGGCTGGTGCCCGTGGCGGCTGCGCTGCTGTCTCTGGCACGTGGGCTCCATCACCAGAGCTTTCCTGCTCAGCTCCAGCCGCTGGGTGCAGCCGCGTCCTGTCTGGTCCTGCTGGAGACGTGCTGTCTGCTGCTGTCTCTCCCGCCTGCTCCGTGTCCTCCAGGGTGATGCAGCCTCTCCAGCTCCAGTCTGGCTGCCACTAACAGTGGTGCCAAGGTCCATGGCTCCCCTTGTCCTAGCCTGTCTGGGGTTGTGGGATATGCACACTCTTGTTTCCCTCACGCCTTTGTGGCAACTTTGGGTGTGAGGGTCCTTGGCGGTTGGTGTGGACTCCTCCCCAGGAAGGACAGCTGCATCCATCCTCTGTGGTCTTCTCGGTGGATTTGTGTTCTGCTCTGGGCTTCGTGGTGCCCTGGGAAGTGGCCGAGATCTGGTTGCCCTCTTTAATGTGGGATAATGGGCAGCCTCTGGGCCATACACCTTCCTGGGCTCTCCAGGGATTTGAACGCTGCTGTTGAGAAATGAGCAGGCTACCCCTGGCGTGGCTGTTATGTACCTACCGGGAGCTTCATCGTGCTGGGGTAACAGTCTGTGCAGAGCATGCGTCTTTGGGGGGGGGTGTCTGGTAGGGGTTTGTCCATTGCAGGACTACTGTGGCGTGGGTCTAGCCATGCCCTTAACTACTTGGAGTGGGTGGGAGTCCTCCAGTAAGCTGTTTGGAGTTGGCCAGGCAGAATGAAGGAGCAGGTGAATGCCGCTAGGTTGGAACTGCTTGGTGCATTTTGCAAGTGGGGAGAACTGGGAATACTCATGGACAGACTACGTTCACTAGCAGTGGTGAGGCAGGGAGCTCCCCTGAGTGCTGGCTCTGGCCTGGTCTTGTGGCAAGCTGGGTGGGTGGCCAGCCTTGGCTACTGGAGCAGTGCCTGAGCTAGAAATGGTCAGTGTGTGTGACACTTGCACTTAGGGCTGAGCTGTGGGTCAGTCCAAGGCAGCGGGGCCTGCTAAGGAGATGCTGATCCAGGACTCCCACACCCATCGCACCAGCCCTTTCAAGCTGACCCAGGGTGTGTGGTAGGGTCACTCTTGCCAGGTGGAAGGTGTTCATGGCGTCACAGGGTCACCAGCTGACACTGGGAAGGATTTCTTTCCCTGAACAAATGCTCTTAGTTTCCTGGGGACTTCTCTTCTCCAGCACTGGGATATTGCTTGTAGGGATGGAGGGGAGCTCCAGGAATCGCATCTAGTCCAACCCCCAGGTCATCTAGTCCATGGAGAATCCACAGAGCCCTAGAACTGGGGGGCTGCAGGGTCACATCCAGTCCTAGCCCTGCCTGAGGCAGGATCAGCCCCATCTAAGCATTGCCATCTGTTCCCTGGTCTGGTAGCAGAGAAACCTCATTGCTCCACTCCTGCCCCGTTGGAGCCCCTTGTGACCCTGGGCAGAGCATCTTCCTTCTGGCTCTGGCTGGGCCAGCTTGTGGCAGGTTTTACTTTGCTTTGCAAGATGTGGATCATTTTCCGCACCCCCCCTGTTAACCGGTTGCTGCCCTGTGGCTGCAGTGATGGGATGTGGGCGATGCCTGCCTCTCCCCAGGTGTGCATATTCAGTCTGCAGAGGAGAAGGCTGAGTGGGGATTGAATAAGCTGACTGGCTGAAGGAGCTGAGCCCCTGCCTTGCTGTAGTGACAAATTGAGCTCTGACAAAGCAGCCCCTGGAAAGTCTCTCTCCTGTGCATGGCCTCTACCTCCTCCCTTCTCATGAAGGAGAGCCCATAGCAACTTCCCAGGATGCTTAACTTTTATTGGTGGTTGGATGAAACCAGCAACAGCCTTGCACTTGTTTCCCTGTGGCCTATAAAGGAAATATTACGGGTAATAACAGCTGGGCAGCCTTGTGCCCTGAAGTACGGAGGCTCTCACGATGAGGACGTGCTCTGTGCACAGTTTGCTTTCAGGCTTGGGTTGAAACTGGATTCCCTGGGGCTTGTTACCAAAGTCTCATTTCCTGTTTGTAGGATGGGGGCTGCTGCAGTCCAGGTGCAGCGAGTCCTGATTGCTGCTCCATGTGAACGGAGACAGATTTCACTTGCTGCTGGATTGCAGCTGCTTCTGGGGTGCAAGGCAAGCTGTCTAACCGTGGGTGAGGAAGAAATGAGTCTGATCCAATGCATACTCTTAAGGGAGCTTCAGATGGACAGAAAGCCACTGCCTCACCTGAGATCAGGCCCTGGGGTCTCTTGTGAGTACGTTGGCAGCCACATTGCAGCCAGCCAGTTGCATTTGAAAAATATCACCCTCCCGACACTCACCTCCTGGCAGGAGGCCAGACCTAATTTGGTGCTGGGGAAACCTTGCCGACTGTCCTGATCTGCTGTGATTTTTAATAAATGGGCATATTGTGGAGATCCATACAGGTGACTACATGCCGCAGCTACACAGAGCCCCTCTCCTTGCTGGGCTGGGGTTGCTCTGGCCGAATCGATCTGGCAGCGCTCCCAGAAAATGAAAGCCGAGAGGGAAGAGGTTTCCTGGCCTTCCTGTGCTGCTCGCAACGGAGGGCCCCAGCGCTTCCCAGCTTCCGGCCTGGAGTCTTGGAGTGGCTTCGTGGCATTCCCGCTCGGGCCTTGGGTTAGTGCTGTCTGCCAGCCGCCCCCGCTTGCGTGGGACGGGGGAGTATCAGTGGCTCTGGCTTTTTTTAACTACAGGAAAACTTAATAGAGCAGTTTTTCTGTTCTAAAAAAAACTCGGAGCCAACATCAAGCCAGAGTGGTTCTTGCGCTAGATTCCTACCTGAAAAAATCTGGGTTTATCTAGTGCATTGAGTTTGCACACCTCAGTGCTAGCTAATACATCTCAACACCCTTGAAAGGAGCTCTCAATAGAAGCACCCCAATAGAAAATCACTGCCTCAGACACAGCTAGACCTTCTGCCAGGTTCAAACTGGGCTGGGAACAGTGTCCCTGGGCAGCTGGCTGTGGGCTGCTGCACCCTGTGAGCTCTTTTCCCATCTTTTGCAGGAAGGCACGGGTCTGTCTTCCTACCCATGTGCTGGGTGAACCCTCGGGGATACAGGGGCTTGCGTTAGGAGCCTCTTGTGCCGGAGGACACTTTGCTGCAGCGTTCGTAAGCACTGGTTTGTTAGCTGTGGACTTGGTTGGCACAAAGTGGTGGAGGTGAGAGCTCGGGCAGGTGCAACAAGGGACTGGATAAGTTCATGGAGGATCAGTCTGTTTGTGGCTGTTGCACAGGACGGTTGGAGGTGTCTGCTCTGGCATCTCTAACCCTGTAAGGGTTGGTGCAGGGGAAGGGATTGTGTGGGGTGTGGATCACTCTAGATCAGAGGGGGCCATTAATACCACCACTCTCCCCTGTTGCTGAAATCCCAAGCCCCCACTGCAGCTGAATCATGGCCAGGTCCCATTTTCCCTTCAGTGCAGTTGAATTGGGGACCACTGGCCAGATCTAGTCCCCCAGTGGACTGGGCACTGGCCAGCCGGCGTGCCAGGGTAGAAGTTCAGGCATCACTGCTCTCTCTCTGCATAGCTTCACCCCTGCTGCCATTGGAGACAGACCACTGGGCTGGATGGAGCATTGCCCTGTCCCTTTTGAGGGAATGCTGGCTGGTGGAGAGCAGAGACCAATGCCTCTCCCACCAGTCTCCATGTGGGAAGCTTTTCCCCCCCATCCATCTTGAGGCCTGAGCTTCTGGAGATGGTGATGCCCAGGACGTGGTCCCATCATAGGGTTGCTCTGTGCCAGGCCCTGTGCAGCCCAGGTGTCTGCTGGCTGACCCTGCATGTTTTGGCCGCCCCGTCCTGCACTGACGTGGCTCTGATTCGCACTGCCTCTGCCTTGGGCTTCTGGCCTTGAGCCTTGCAAAAGCAGTCTGCTCTGCAGAGCATCCGCCTCTCTGCTTCCTAGCTGGGAAGCAGCAGGGCTTTGGGAGGGGGAGAGCAGGAGTGCTGGCCGGGCAGGCGGGGTGTCTGCTCCTGCCCACCTGGTGCCTGGCATGTGCGTGCTCTCCCAGGTGCCTGGAGACGGGGTTGGGAGGCTGCTGCTTTCATTGGTATACCAGGCACTTTGGCAAGACGAGGAGCAGTCTGCAAACGAGGTTAAAGGCATCTTGTTCTTGCGGGAGTCCAGGGTACTGGGTGTTCTGGGCAGGCAGTGCTTGGTGCTGGGATTCAGGAGGCCACAGCCCACGGTGGTCTCTCAGGCTGGGTCAGATGCTGGGGCAGGAGCATCTCATGTAGTGCAGCATGAACCTGGTCTGGGAGCGTTCTCCCTTGCAGGAGAGGGCCCTGCCACCCAGAGCCTGGTGCCCACAGCCAGTCGGGCAGCCTCCGAGTGCTTGCTGCCTCACTGGTGCCTGGGGGGCTTCCTCCATAAGCCCTTTAAGTCTGTAGTCAGGGGCTTGGGCCTGCAGCTGAGCCCCTGCTAGAGGCTTTCGGTGCCAGTCGGGCTTGACTGCATAAGCTCAGGTTGTGCCATGCAGACCCTTGCCTTGGTAAAGCCACCGGTGTGTGCAACAAGCAAAGAGCTCAGCCTGGGAGGCAAGTTGAACCAGGATCCTGGGGAACATAGTCGGTGGCAGCAGTCCCTTGATTTGAGGATGATCTCTCCCTCAACTCAGCGATGGGTCCTGAGGTGACTTCGGAGTCCGATCCTTGAGCTCCAGACCCGTCCGCAGGAGTTGCAGGTCTTTCTGCAGGGGGAGTAAGGCTGAGATATTTCTCTTCCCTTTTCGTCCTCTTTGCTTTGGCAAGATGCTTTAACCAAGCAGCTGCCTGCTTTGAGGGAAGTTTGCAGTTAACCTTTGGGGTAAATTGGCAGCCAGCTTCTCCCAGCTCTTGATGTCAGCATTTGTTTTCTTGAGGTCTGCCTTCAGCGTGTTCTTGCAGCATTTCCCCTGGCCACTGCGAGATCTCGGCGTGCAACTAAACTGGGAGGAGAGCGCTTATTTTGGGACTTTTTCCAGTCCGGCAGAGTTGGTGCTCGAGGATCACTGACTGGATGTTGGTAATATTTGGCTTCAGCAAGGAAGGATGCTGGCAGCAGATGCAGAAGCTCAAATCCCAGGAGATCCAGACCCTAGAACTGAAACGTCACGCTCTCCTAAATGCCAGCGTCCTGGAGGGGACGTGGCTTCAGTTCTCTGGCCTGAATCTTCTGGGTTTTGAGCCTTGGCATCTAGTTTCTTATGGCCATAAGAACTGGACCACTCTCTCCTGGCTTCAACTACATGGTTGGAAAGTGTCTTTCAGTTAGTACTGTTGTGGGGGGTGACCTGAGCTGCATCCCAGCTTCTTTGTGTCTGAGATCCCTAAAGAAATTGGAAGTTCCCTCCAGTCCAGCTGGACCAGGGCCTTTCCTTAATTTTTTAGTTTTTGAGACTCGGTTTCACTGTTCTGGGTTGCTTCCCTGCTGAGGCCCCCACCTGTGATCTATAGGAAGTGCTGGAGTCTGTCAAATTGGAAAGCTGCAGTGTTGGAAATGTTCAGGCTTCTCAAACTCTCTTTTCCCCCCCCACTTCCTTGGGACACTTAAGTGAAGGAGGTGCATGTTCACAAAC